AGCCGCGGGATGTGCGGGAATCCCGCGGGGATCCCGAGGGATGCGGAGCCTGGAGCTGTCCCCGGCAATTCGGGATGGGAGAGCGATGCGGTTCGGAGCTGCGGGAGAGGGTCTGGGGTTGATGCTCTGTGGTTTGCAGCAGCCCAAGGGGTCAGATGTGTCTCCCTTGGCTTTGGGGTTGGGACAGGATCCTGCCACCAGCTCCGTGCAACCTCCCTCTGCGTGGGATTCTCCAGCCCAACCCTTCTCCCACTCCCAACTCTGCTGGTTTGGGGGTCGTTTTTCCAAGGGTTTCTTTTCCCAACCTGTCATATATGGCAACCTTTTGCCTCGGTGATCTCATGTTTGGCAGGGGACCAAGGGGACGGGGTGGGATGGGAGGTGGCAGCAGGACCCCAGGGCTGGGGACACCGAGTCCAAATCCAGCCCCTGCATGCTGAGGTTTCCCAGAGGAAGGGGATGCTGGAGGGGAGAGTGGGCTGTGCTGGGGACACACCACGTCCCTGTCCTGCCCCATGGGGTGGCAGCTCATGGTGTGCTCCCTCCCTCTGGGGGACACCAGGACTCCTGGATCCTTCTGGTGGTGGTGGAGCCTTGCAGCTCCTTAATGCTGCCCCAGTGCCATCATGTCCCTGCCCTGAGCTCAGCTCAGGATCCTACAGAGCAAGAGGCAACCTGGGCACCCTGTGCCTCAGTTTCCCCATCTGCAGCCCCAAAAACTCTGAGTGGTGACTCCAGGGCCTCTCTCCTGCCTCTCCCCAGCCCTGGGTGGCTGGGTAGAGCCCCCAGTGCAGGCCTGTTGCCCTTAAAAAGGCAGCCAGGAGTTTGGGAGCTGCTGGTTGGCCTCTGCCAGGGCCACGGGTACTGCCAGAGCTGTGTCCACGGGGCTGGGCTGGCTCCGGCCCCCCCGGGCAGGGAGGGCAGGGGACAGCACCCACATCACCCCTTGGGGGTCTGGGCTCATCCTGCCTCCAAAGTCCTCGTGGCAGAGAGCGAGAGCTCGGTGCACCCACAATGTGGGGCTGGGATTTGCACCCACGAGTCCTGGCCTGGCTCAGGCTGAGGATTTGGGGGATGAGGAGCTTTGGGACACCAAGAATCCAAAAACTGGGG